AACTGTGCCAAAAATCGTGCTGCAATTTGGTTTTTCAATAATCATTGTTTAGTCCAGCTCCAATTTGTGAAAACTAGAATATTATCATTTTATTATAGAGTTTGCTCATAAATAATTACATATTATGTCAAAAGAATTTGCGGTGAGTTTATTAATTGCCTTTGTTGTTTGTTAAATGCCAGTTTGGGGTTCTATATTTAAAAGCTTGTCAATTACAGGAAATTGTTAATTAAGCGAGTTTCCTCCTATAAGGGATTGAAATATTATAAATAGAACATTTCGATAGAGCATTAATACTTTGCTGGCTTCAGTAAACATATAAATTTAAATTTTTTGGCAATATTTTGTAAAGAATGACATTGAAATTAGGTCAATATCACTTTAACCTGCTGCGTCCTTCATTATTCAGAATAACCTCTAAACTTATACCTAACATGCAGACAGCTAAAAGAAAGTATTATGTTACCTGAATTCCGAGATCTGGCAAAATAAAGATATCGCCGAATGGACTTGAAATGATTATTAAGCGTCTCGTTTTAAGAAATGAGTTGGATCCTTTGTTAAATACATTTTGTTCTTAATGCAACATACAACGCTTTCAGTTATATTATTTTCTCCTACCCAGGTCAAACAAACAACATTAGGTACTTACACTACTTACCATCGCATTGTATTAGGGTGTAGTGATGAGCTAAACAAACTTTTCAATAAAAATTGCCACAAAGAATATATGGCACTTTCGATCATGGAGTCGATTCTGAATTGAGTTGGGAGAATTATTGTGCATATAGAGTACTATGAAAGGTCTAAGAATATACAGGGTGTTCATTTTAAAAGTTACCACCCCTATTATCTCGGAGTTGAACAATTTTCGAAACAATCCCTGAAACATGTCAATTATAATTGGAACGGGAATGAGTTTTTATGCAAAATTCGCCTCCCCCCTTTCAACCCCCCAACCCCCAGAGTCACTCTCTAGAAAATCCTAATTCGGAAGGGGGGGTCCAGTGATGCATCATTTTGGAGAGTTCTTAATTCCATACATATTGGTACTAATTTTTAATACCTAAGTTCAACTGCTTTGGAAATATTGACAGTTGAAAATTGACTTTTCTGCAACTTTGACAGGCTGTAAAACCTAAACGGTTATTTTTAGAAGAAAACCGATCTTACATTCTCATCTTAGATTTTCATAAACTATCATTTGACACCAACTTTGAATTTAACAGGAGATTAAATTTAATTGGAATTTTCCGAGGAATTTTAAATCATAAATTAAATTCAAAGTTGGTGTGATGATAGTTTATAAGAATGTGAGATCGGTTTTCCTCTAAAATTAACCGTTTAGGTTTTACAGCCTGTCAAAGTTGCAAAGAAGTCAATTTTCAACTGTCAATATTTCCAAAACAGTTGAACTTAGGTATTAAAATTTAGTACCAAAATATATGGAATTACAAACCCTCCAAAATGATGTATCACTTGACCCCCCTTTTCATTTAAGATTTTCTAGGGGGTGGCTCTGGGAGTTGGGGGGTTGAAAGGGGGAAGATGAATTTTGCATAAGAACTCATCTCCCTCCAAATTATAATTGACGTGTTCCAGAGTTTTGTTCGAAAATTTTTCAACTCCGAGATAATAGGGGCGGTAAGTTTTAAAATGAACATCCTGTATTTAAGCAAATTGTCAGCAAGGCAATGGAAAATCGTTAATGAGATCAGAGGTAGCGTCAACAAGAAAAAACTGCCCCTAAAAGTAACTCTAAACCATAAAACTATACAGGACTCTAAAACTGCCGCAGAAGAACTAAACACATATTTCACAACCATTGCCGAAAAGATTACAGAAAGCATTCCAGCAGTACGAAGGAAATACCAAATTAGTTCTCGAACATTCCCCACATTTTATATAACCCCGACAACAAAGGAAGAAATTATGGAAGTGATGAACACACTACCAAAGAAAAAATCCACCGGAATTGATGAATTCATGAAAAGGCTTCCTGAGCAGTGCCAAGACCTGATGGTGTCTGCCATAAATGATTCGTGCACAAATGGTATTTTCCCAAGCAGTATAAAGATATCAAGGATCATTCCAATACACACAACAATGAACCCTCAAACTTCATCATCGCTGTGTTGTCAACGGTTTCAAAAATAATAATAGGATGCTAACATTCATAGGTAAATACCATATCTTACACAAACATCAGTTTGGCTTTCAGAAAAATAAAAGCACATCAGACGCCATCGGAAATTGCATGAGGCGCATATATGAAGCAACACAAATAAAATAATTGTTATGGTGAGTCTGGATCTGGAAAAAGCGTTCGATTGTGTCGATCAAAAAAAATTACTATCAAAATTGGCTTCCTATGGATTTCGTGGGACAATAGGTGCATGGATTAAGTGTTTTCTGAAGGAACGAAGGCAAGTGGTAGAAACTAAAGATCAAAACGGCTACGTCAATAAATCACAGATCAAAGAGTTGAAGCATGGTGTTGTACAGGGATCTACTTTGGAACCCCTTTTGTTTAAACTTTACATAAATGAACTGGCGACTCTACCCGTAAATGGACACCTGACATTGTTTGCCGACGACACAACGATTACATGAAATGGCGACTGCGATCAAGACGTCCAGGGAAGGATAAACGAAGATGTGGAAATATTAGACAACTGGTTTCATACAAATAAACTGTCGCTAAACATCAGAAAAACCAAGTGCATTCATTTCAGCAATCCGATGAAAAATAAAATTCAGATAAAAATACGAAAAACCCCTTTGACCATTGTAGGCGAATATAAATTTCTCGGAATAACCATCCAAAAAAATCTCAAATGGGATGTACATGTAGCGGCTGTGGCAAAGAAACTATTATCGGGACTATTTGCAATAAACACCTCTTGGAAAAATCTTGGACCGGCTGCGGCAACTCAAATATATTGTTACTCTTACCATCTTTTCGAAAGCCACATGCGCTACTGGGGTCTCTCCACATCAGTGAATACAGAAACGATATTCTTATTACAGAAAAGAGCAGTTCGCTTGCTCAAAGGAATATACAATCAGAGAATCCATTGCAGGGCATTGTTCAAAAAGCTAAAAATACGTTAATATTTTTTTCTACGACCTTCGCATCTTTGATACTGGCATAAACACCGAAATGACGCAGAACGACGCGCAGACATACACCCCTATAGAACTCGCCAGATGCATGACCTCCAGACCTCATCCCGCCTTACCCTGACCAAAAATACATTTTTACACATGGGAAAACTGTTCTATAATAGGCTACCATCGCAAGTCAGAGAAATCAGGCAACGGAAAAAGTTCGACCGGTCAGTCAGAATTTACTTGGAAGGAAAGGCCAATTTAAGTTTCAACGAATACATGACAAATACAATGTTAGCTTTGTTAAAAAAATTTACAGTGTTTTGTATATCATTTATATTGTAACTTGTGTCTATTTTTTTTATTTTTTTTGTTTATTCATTTTTTTTTTTGATATTGCTTTTTAATTGTATTTTTTTTACATGTTATTGATGACGTACAGCAGCAGTGCTTATTGTCTTAATAAATCTATCTATCTATCACAAATAGGAATCCCCCGGCCAGAGATGAACTCCTGCTACAAATTCGCAACTCCCAAGGAATAAAAGTACCAAGGTCCAAAGATATCTTTTAAGATAGTCTTTCATTCTTATCGTACACTTGATTACTAGACTTTGGATGGAACAATCTAGCAAATTACAAAAGGTATTTTGTAAGTGTCATGATTAGGTTTTAACAATCCATAATTAAAATTGGTTTTGAATAGAATACCTATATTCCTAATCACTATGAGTGAGCTAATCAGAATTGTTAATACTCACTAATGAAAAATGACCATGTCAAACATAAATCATCAAATTTCCAAACCTAAATTGCAATTTCATACTGCATCACCCTGTACTTCTGTTTTTTTCAGTATTAAAAATAGCATTCTATTTGCATTTTAAAGCCTTAACATTGTTGGTTTAATTTGTATTTTGATTATTTAGTAAAATAAAAGGTTGAAATGGAAAAAATCGCTTGATTTTAATTGGACCAGCCCTGGTATGTAATGCAAATTGGAAATAAAAATGTTGCACATGGCTACCATATTAAATTTTTGACCACCTCCATTTCATCAACAAACTAAATAAGGCAGCTGAACTGATAAAGCATTTAATCAATTCAAGCCCGGATGTATTAGTTTTTTTCCTGGTAGATTAGAATGGGACCACATTTATTATCATATTGATACTGGCTGCCATAGCATTGAAAATAACGCAGAACCGCTATGAATGTGGTAATTTCGTCATAAATACAATACTCAGTGTTACATAATTATAGCTGCCTAAATACCCACATTCTAGTCGAGTAATGAATAAATGCAAGTTCTCCTGTGTTTTTGGCAATCTGAATGGGTGTTGCAAAGCCTACCAAATTCTAATTATCCAATAATAATGGTTTTGAAGGCTGTCTATAACAAGTTTGTAAATATTTGCAAACGAAAATTATAACATTTTCAGGGAAATATAATTATTATTAACATGAGCCTGTAGCATGTAGTTCATTCTTAGAAAATAGCTTTTAATGATATGAAACCTGATCAAACATTTAAGACAGAAATATGAAAAAAAAAAACAAATTTGAAATTATTTTTTTGCCAAATTATGCCTACTAATTAATTCGAGTTATGGTTCACATTTTTTCGTGTATCAATTGCCTACTAAACAAAAAATAAAACAAACATAAGGTAATCTAGTAATAAACCTTCAACCTTTAACCTCTAATAAAAAAATTGTCATACATGTCTAGAATTCCTAAATTGGAAGAACATTTATACATATATTCCTATATTCACACATGCACGATATTGACCAATTAAAAAAATGACTCATTCAAAAGGGATCTGTTAGTCATTTCTCAACTGTTCGGAATTGATCATTGGCATAATAATTAAAAGCATGACTTACCTTGACTCTAAGAATTTGTTCCCTGAGATCTTGGAGATCGTTAAACGTCGACTGCGCTGTAATTGAATAGACCAGAACGAATCCCTGGCCATTTTTCATGTATAGATCTCTCATTGCAGTGAATTGTTCCTGGAACAAAAGGTTCGATGCTTGAGTTTATGTGTTTCAAGGAAAATGCAATAAGGATCTTAGTTTCTTAGAATTATTTCTCATTATTAGATCGACCAAAGACAAAACGCCAGATATTTAATTTGACAATACCATTTTGTAGATGAAAGTTCGATTTATTTTAAAAAATATCTCTTCCAATAAGCTTAGGAAAGTATTAAATCAATTTTGCAAAATTTCGTTTTTTTTTGTTTTCAGGATGATTGTGGAGCAATTAACAATTTTTTAATTTTGAAAACGGTATTTTTTTGAGCATAAAATGGTGCAAGTTAAGTTTGCCTAGATTAGGCAGACATCTTATCTCTTATGGTTTCCAAGATCCCCATGCACAAAATTTGTAACACCTTGTATACAGACAAATTAATCTCTTTTGCTAGAAAGGACCCCGCAACATTCAAATGGAAATTGGTTACCCGGGATAAGGTGGGGCGGTGTCAGCCGTCAAATATTGGAATCTAATATTGAAAAGCAGAGTAACTATGACAGATTCAAATGAAGTAAATATAGATTTCTACAAAGTCAACCAAGGTAAATCGAATAATGTCAACTTTTTTGAGATCTGTCAAAACCCTGCCAAACGGCAGCACTCATATTTTTCAGTTTTCAATGTTTCATTCATTTGACATTTTTAACTTGTAAATTCTGAGTTCGGAAATTGAAAAAAAAAAAAGCTTAAAATGTCAAATGACACATCGTGAAATAGTGAAATATTGAAAACTGAAAAATATGAGTGCTGCCGTCGGGCGGGGTTTTGACAAATGTCAAAATGGTTGAGATTTTTCGATTTACCTCGGTCGACTTCGTAAAAATCGATATTTACGTCATCAAAATCTGCCATAGTTACTCTGCTTTTGAATATTAAGCCGCGTCCACATTAGTAAAAATTTACGTTGTGCGTGGTATTCGGCATAAATTTGTGTATGCGATAGAAATTTATGCGAGTGTGGACCTGTTCGCTGCATACGGACGCACGCAAAAATTTCGCGACATTCACCGCACGCGATCCGCGGCTTATCGGTTTTTTTCAAAACATCAAAGGGATTTGCGGCGCAACATCGTTCTAGTGTGGACGCATTTTTTCGCGAACGAAATAAATAACCAAAAACAAGCAACGCGCACACTGAAATAAAATATTTATCTCGGTCTCGGTCAAGATGCCAAATTTGCGCCACAAAAATTTGTAGCGAATCCCGAATTCCCGTAACGCATTTATTTACTAATCTGGACGCGGCTTTAGATTATAATATTTGTCAGCTGACACCGCTTCACCAGTCATATATGTATACAAGGTTGCGCCAATAGTGAAAAATGTTGCTTACGGCATCCCCAATAACATATTCAAATTTCATCAAAATATCACTGGTAACCAATTTCCATTCAAATATTGCGGGGTCCTTTAGAAATCCGAATACCTAAACTGGGCTATTGCATACAACAGATTCACAAACTATGGACCAATTGCTATTCTAAAAACTGTAATTTAGAGAATCTCCATTGCATTACAATGCCTTTTAAAACTAAACTTTCAATGATAAAAAAAATGTTTACGAATGAAGTTTTTAAAACAGAAATCCACTCAAGTCCATTATTATAGGAAAGGTTGACGAAACCTCCCTTAAATCCTCTCAGTGCTTGTGAAAATCATTCATTTAATCACAAATAACAAGGAGGAAAAATTAAATGTTAGAGTGTCAATAAAGGGTGTTCCACAGAATATAATCTCTTTTTATAATCTCATCTCAATCCAGACAGAAAAGTTTTTAAAAAAACATCTCATTCATTTGAAATTCTGAAGAAATTTTATATTAAATTTTATTTGCCAACTGAATTTAAATATAAATTATGTTATAGAAACGATAAAAAAATATACAAAATGACAGTTAGTTGAGATAAAGATTTTGTCAAAGTATTTTAATTTAGAAGAAAAATATTACGTGAAAGTAAATATAATTATTGGAAATTAAAAAAAAAAACTACTACGTAACTACAGAAAAAAAGTAAAAGGAATATTATAATTAGGTACAAGCAAACAGCGTCTCACTTCAAAACAAATTAAATGATCCACTCCAGTTACGTAAAAACAATATTCCTTTCAACTTGACATTTTTAAAACATTAAAAAGGAAAAAAATAATAATAATAAGAAGGTGACTTACCGTTCCAGCAGTATCTAGGATTTCCAACATACATTGCTGTCCATCAACTTCTACTTGTTTCCTATAGCTGTCTTCTATCGTTGGGTCATATTTTTCTACGAATATACCTTGCACGAATTGTACTGTTAAAGCTGATTTACCTACACCACCTGAACCTAGCACGACGATCTTGTATTCCCGCATTTTTGTTTAGTTACTGTAAAAAAAGCAATGCTATCTCACACAGTCGCAGGCAATTTTGTGATAATCAGGCCAACCACGATATAATATGTCTGCATAAACAACCCCTTCAAAAACCCACACTGAATACGATTTTAATTAAAGACTCTAGGCTATTTGCTCAATTAAAGATGTTTGTATATTGGATAGAACTGCTACCAAATTATAATTTGGAAAACTATAATTAGAAAGAAAATAATTACGTTGCCTCGTGGAAATAATTATGGAATCATATTATGTGTGGTAGGGGTTCATTATTTGACACAATGAAAAAATCACCTAAATCAGGTGGATTTTTTTTATTTTGAATACAAAACAAGACAGACATGATGAACCTAAGCTTAAGTTTTTTTTTATAAAAACTATTGGACAACCTGGATATTTACAAATCAAATTTAGCCCACCTACTCAATTTGTCACCTTGAATGTAATTTATGAAGCAGATCATAATGATAGAATAAATACTATTTAGTGATTGAAATATTATTAAATTACACTTACATAGGTATAATAAGCAGAATAAATAAATTCCGATCGCAATGTTTAAAGTTGTATACTTACTTGAGCCAAGACAGTGTACACATTAGTCTTTAAAGTATCAATATTTTTGAAAACGCATTTTTTATCAGCGTATGACGATGAAAAATGGGTATTTGAAGATGAAACTTTTTTAGAGCTGTCGAGAGTTTATTAAAATATGACATTATTGTTTTGTTAAATGGGTTAATGCGAGAAATTGAAAAGTTTTAAATGTCTTCATTTGAAGTAAAACAAATGATTGGAATGATTTCCAGCTTTCCAGGAATAAGGTACTTACTTTTGGTCTAATTTTATTGGGCTTTTATGTGTAGGTATTGGTAAAAGCATGGATTAAAGCCCGTAGTTTATTTTCTCGAGTTATCGAAATGAGCTTATCAACCAACTATGGCTTTAAATACACTTATTTAAATAAAAACAAAAGATTGAAAAATTCATAAAAACCACAATATTTGGTTTTTCACATTGTAGAGTTTTGGGTTCATGTTTCAATAAAAATTAAGCTGAGCTTGACTAAGATGGGTTCTCATCTAAGCAGCATCAAGAAGTGTAATAAAACGCTGCAAAAAAACAACCCAAACAAGGGGGGTAGCATTCTGCTGGATGCTGCCTGGTGACAAGTAAATATCAGGCCAAGATGAGAATCTGCCTTGAATTGGCAAGAATTTGAATAATAAAAAGAATTATTATTAACTTGATAAATAATAATTCAGGTAGAGGAAGTCAATACAACTTAGACAATAAACGAAACATGACAAATTGGGTCGTTAAACTCTTTTGTGTCACAACAGATAATTCTGTTGTGAATCCTATAATTGAAAGTCTTTTGTTTGGATTTTACAACACTTTCTTTCTAAAGTTCAAGGGTTCTTGTAAAAGATATAAGAAATAATTAAAAGGTCTTCCAAATCATGCCTGAAAAAATAATAACCATCATCTTAACCTAAGCATAGATTCACAAACAAATTTTGAATACATTTGAACGAAGTCATACTTAACTTAGTTACTACTATGTTGTTACAAATGTGGACAAAACTGAATTTAGAAAAATAAGTAAATAATAATAAATAACAATTTTCTATCTTTGATAAACTTATGAAGTCACAAGCACAGCTTTTTTTGCTGATTTTGAGAAAATGGTAAATTGGCAATATAACAGTAATTGTGCTGTACTAATTTTGACTATAAAAACAATGAATGAAAAATATTCCCATGAAATGCGAATATTACAGCCCCTCACAATAAGAATATAATTATTTTTTAATTGTAGGTAAATAATGTCAATGTTTACTTGGTGACCTTATAGCTGAAAACGTAATTTGGAACTTGTCAAAACAGTATGTTTATTGCTAGGTGAAATTAGTATTTTTTTCAGCCACAACAAAGTAAATAAATACAAAAAAGTCTGTACCTCAGCCTGTACAGGATGGGCCAATTTGGACACTTTTACTTAAGGGGCCACAACACGTGGGGGATTGTGTTTCGTAAAAACCAAACTACAAAAAAACTGCTCCAGATATCGAGATGAACTAATTAAATTTTTATAAACGAAGGATTATACAACCAGCCTACAAAAGCCTTTTTTTGATATATTAAATATTTATTGTAGGAAAATATTGCTGAAGATCGCCTTTTTTTGCTCTTTTTTGAACGCAAATATGAGCGATGGATTTTTTTTTTTTGAAAAACCGCTCTGTAGGCTGGTAGGTTGAACCCTTGTAAGTTTTTGTTCCAAAAATGAAGTCTGTTATTGCTTTATTGACGCTGTAGTTTGGTTTTTCGTGAGCACTGATTTGATGCATTTTTGACTAAAATTATTTAATGCAGCGTTAAAACGATTTATCGTAGTGTAGTTTTGTGTTTCATTATGCTTTTTAATGCATGTCGCAATTGTCTAGCTTTTCTTGAACTTTCGTCTCGCGGTCTGTGACGAAATAGCTTTTTGCCTGTAGTGGAGCCTTAATAGGAATATCTGAGTGAGTTTCAAACAATTTAGCCTTTCATTCTAAGGCTCAAATTTCATAAAATCTCCATTAGTGCAACCGCATTTTGATTATATGCAACCATTTTGCCGCAAGATGGCGTTTCTAGATTTTAAGCAATACAGTGAAAGCTTCATAGCTTTTTCTTAAATGAATAGAATTGATTTCTCTATAAACTTTCTAGAAGAACTAGAAAAATTCAATGACATATCTACTCAATTTTTTTTAATTTGGTTCTGAGTTCGAGATATTAACTTTTCTTTTCAGTAAGACATCCTTTATAATAATGACTCATTGGATAACTCTGTTTGTGCTGATTTTAATAGGCTTACCCGAGGGCTTATCTCCCACTTGAGGAAAAAAATTATATCTATTTTAGTCAGAAGGAACAATATCTAGAATGAAACAGCCTTTCTCATTTTCCTTACTGTTATAAAGTCTTTTCAAGATTTTACTTTTATTCTTATATCATTGAAATCAGCAAAAGCAGAGCTATTCAATGAATCATTAATAAACACGGTTTTTTTGAATGTCAATATTTGAGGAGGCGATTTTTAGGTCCATTTTAAGAAGAAAACTTCCTATGAAAGTATGTCCTAAATGTCTTAACTTTTGAGGTAGCAGCAGGTGATAAAGTTTTTAAAAATAAATCATTTATGATTGATATCTGTAGAACCACTCTAAATTAGGGATATAAAATGACGGTCATTTATTTTTTGTGATAGGTGACAGTCATTTTTATTGTCATTTATGATAATTTAATTTCAGTGTGGAACATAACATTACTTAAATCAAGAATCAGCTGAAACTTTGTAAACGGATAGAGATCGTTATCGCTATCGCTATAGCACTTGTTGTCTTCTTCTCTCTTGTCGAAATCAAGGAGCGTCAATAGAGATAGAGAAGATATCTCTTTATTCGTTACAGAGTCTCAGCCCGATGTTTAATTGGTTGACTAGAGTTCTTCTTCAGTTTCACAATCATCAGCATCAAAGTCATCTAATGAGTTAGAGAGTACAGCTTCCATCTCCTCCATTAGATTGACAGTCAAAATAAGATGTCAGCTGATATTTTTATGACACTCTCATATATTTCAATGACGGTCATATATTTTAATGACGGTCAGTTATTATTTTGACAGTCAGAAAATTCAATCGATAAAAACATAAATGACGAGAGTGTCATAAAAATAAATGACGTGGCCGTCATTTTCATTTTGACTGTGACATGACGAGTCAGTACGGAATTTGACCTGTCTATTTTGGCGAACATTGATGAAACCCCACTAATTTCTCTCAGAATAAAAATTATTCTTGAAATCACCAATCATTTCCAAGCAAAGATGATCATATGATTTTTTACAATCCGATGCATGGTTTTTGCCAAAAAAAAAAAAACAGTTTGCACACACACATGCAGATGAATAGATTTTATTTATTTAGGTGAAAACCCTACATTGTAAAAAATCAAGTGATCAACTTTGCTTAGAAATTATTAAAGATTTCCGAGATTTCAATAATAATTTTGTATTTTAAGAGAAATCAGTGCCGTCTGTCAACTACACAGATCAAATTTCGTACGAACGCCACTAGTTGAAATAAAAATAAAAATGTGGTAAATCAAAAAATGCTTTTTGATACATAGTACATTAGAGGTGGAGAACTATCGATGGCGCTATCGATAACTATCGATAGTATTGACTATCGAAATACATCGATAGTTTTTTTAAACTATCGATAGTTGTCGATAGTTGGCTGTAACGCCCGTTAGTAAGCGAAAGTTAGGTTCGAGCACAAAACTGAATTTCAAAAATGCAAAACAGAACAGTTTTAACTGGTTTGGAAACCTTTTTTGATTTCCTTGCTTTATTGTTCAAGGACAATGGCAAATTTTCTGACAATTATAAAAAGTAATCTAAAAGGTCTGAAAGGATTTTCAGTACTGCTGGTGCCTGGTGCCATTATTTCTGACAAATGATCTTGTCTGAAAGCGTTTTGTGCTGAAAGCCAAAAACGTTGAATTGTTGAAATAATTATGATAATGATTTTGTACAAAAATTCTAGGATTTTGGAATAAGATACATATTTTTAGTTTTAGAAAGAAATTCTGCAAATGAGATATCAGAGGCGGAATTCTGTAACGGATAGAGATCGTTATCCCTATCACTATGGCACTTGCTATCTTCTCCTCTCTTTTCGAAATCAATAGAGAGGAGACGTAGGTACTTCAATAAAAATAATAATAATGTTTATTTATTCACTTATAAAAATTTACATGGGTTTCAAAATAATACATATTTTTTAATTGTTCAAAACGGCACCTAGATGACCTAACATCTGTATGTGCCGGTGAAAACGTATAAAAACTACTAGATAATTTCAAGCAAATGTTTACCAACTAGTGATACATGCCTCAAATGCTAATATACAATATTCAAAAAAATATTCTAAACAGTTCT